GGGGGGGGGGCGGGGGGCACTGGTGTGTGACACAGATGAGGTAAACAAGTTCCCGGCGGATGGCGGTAGAGAGAGAGTGCTGGTCTCGGCTCACTGTTCGCCGACCGTAATCAAGTATTTGATCTGTTGTGCATCCAATCAAATGGAGCAGATTGGCAGAAGCGTGATTTGCTCATATGCTTCCATTTCGAGGGACACGGATACGGCCATCGTGCAAGCGGATGCCTCGTATATGATCAGCGTGTAACCGATCCGTCTTTGTATACAGCCATCGTGTAAGCGATGCCGATGCCTCTTGTAGAGCAGACGACATAGGGGAGGACTTCGGGGGCATCATTATGCCTCTTGTAGAACAGTTGACATTGGGGACATCATGTGCGTGAAGACTGTATTGCTGGCATCCTTATGATGTGCGTCACACGGAATCGGTGGCATCATGATGCAGTGCGTCTGTTTCATTTTCAAGTGCTATGCACCCTCTGCCTGTGCTATTCTCCCTTGTGCGGGCCAGTGCTATGCACTCTCTGCCAGTGCTATTCTCCCTCCCTTGTGCGGGCCAGTGCTATGCACCCTCTGCCTGTGCTATTCTCCCTCCCTTGTGCGGGCCAGTGCTATGGACCCTCTGCCAGTGCTATTCTCCCTCCCTTGTGCGGGCCAGTGCTATGCACCCTCTGCCTGTGCTATTCTCCCTTGTGCGGGCCAGTGGTATGCACCCTCTGCCTGTGCTATTCTCCCTTGTGCGGGTCAAAAGAACTTGTCCTGTGTTGCCAGAACTCAGGGTGGTTCTTCGGCGGAAAGGAGTCGTAAACGACATTATAGCTATGCACCCTCTGCCTGTGCTATTCTCCGTAGCGAAAAACGGGGCAAGCATAGAAAGAAGAAGCTGCACATCGAAAGAGGAGAGGGACGGCGGTGAACGAGGGGCGAGGTTATAGGAACTGTGGATTGATGTGATGGGGGATGCATCGGGTCGAGGTTATAGCAACTGTGCGTTGATGTGATGGGGGTGCGACGGTGACGCGCGGCCAAGGGGAGGCCCAACTTGTGAGTGTGCAGGTGTGGGTGGCCTCGATGACGTGAAGAAGTGATTATAGGCAATAGTAGTGGGGATGGAGGGAAAACCACAGCTGTCAGTGATTATAGGCAATAGTAGTGGGGATGGAGGGAAAACCACAGCTGTCACTGCTGCTGTCTATATCCGACGAAAGCAGACAGCGCGGATTGAGCAGCCTGTGCATCAGGTACAAGCTGCGAGTCGCTTAGCTATGGAGTGGGTTGATGCAAGATGGACAACTTGGGAGAGAAATCCAGCCATTGGAGAGTGGCTCGTGTGTGGTAGGGAAATAGGAGAAGGCAGCAGACGAGGCGACCGTGGTGGCGCTGCCGACGGCGGTGGCGGTGGCGGTGGCGGCGGTGACATGAGAGGAGAAACAGTTCCGAAAATCATGATGATGAAAAAAGGGAGGATGGCCAGTAAATAAAGTATGTGGTTGGTCTCTCTCTCTCACACACACACACACACGCACGCACACACACACACACACACACACACACACACACACACACACACACACACACAGAGTAATGAACATGAGTGTTTCTCAAACTCTCTGAAGCTGTCTGAGATTTTCTGAAGATTTCTGAAGCTTTCTGAGAGGTTTTCTGGGTCTTTGTGGACCACCTCAAAACTGTTTAGAACATTCTGATACTTTCAAAGACTTCCAAAGACTTTCGAAGACTTTTGAAGACTTTTGGAGACCTTTCGGAAACTGTCTGCAGCCTTCTGAGGATCTTTGCAAGTGTATGGGACTTTTTGATATTCTCTGGGACATTGTGAAACTTTCTGAGGCTCTTTGGCACCTTTCGGGACAAACCAGGACTTCCTCCCAGTTGTGGAACGCCACTGTACCATTCTTTATTCTCTCTCTCTCTCTCTCTCTCTCTCTCTCTCTCTCTCTCTCTCTCTCTCTCTCTCTCTCTCTCTCTCTCTCTCTCTCTAGTGCTCGGTAGCATTCTGTTAACTGTGTAATTTTGTGAAGCTCATGTAATTTTTTGTGAAGCTCGTGTAATTTTTTGAACGCTGTATTCTGCACATTTCTGAGAACTTTCTACGAAACTGCACTGATTGATCTTCGGTACTCTGAACGCTCTCTGCTCTTTTCAGCAACCTTTCTGCAAGTCTGTCCTATGCGGCGCTGCAAAAACTATCCTCTGAAGCTTTCTGTTGATGTTTGAAAACTGTGTTTAAAGCTTAGGCTTATGCACTGTTCCTGTTGTTCTATACGACCTCCTCCCTTTTTTTTTTTTTTTTTGAGCGAGCCAAGTGTTGTGTTGTGTTGTGTTTTCCTGTTTTGTGAAGTCAATGTCTGCAATTTATTGCAGATTCGGAGTTTAAATTGCTCCTATTTCCCGTTCTTCAGCTTCTTAGGAAGAATTCTCCCACTCACCCTCCTCTCTCTCTCTCTCTCTCTCTCTCTCTCTCTCTCTCTCTCTCTCTCTCTCTCTCTCTGTGTCTGTGTGTGTGTGCGTGCAGTTCCTTTATACTGTGGGGAAGCATCACTGAGCTTTGCCACCCGTGGTGCAGTTATGAATTATGTACGTGGAGTTCTGGCCACGTGGATTTAGAACTACCCACCCGAAACCCTAAATCCCAAACAGGGTGGAAGCGTGCACGTACCCCTCTCCTGTCATTCCTTTGGGTGTCGTCAGGCAGGGGGGGCTACTACTGAGTAGCAGCGCAGTTTTGTCCCTTCGCTCCTGCTGCTTCTCTTGATGTCTAACTTGCTTTCCTTAACTGCGAGAAGGTGAGCTCCGTATACTCAAATTCTCTTTGCTTTTATGGATT